CTGTCCCTGGGTGGGGACGTCGACAAGGCGGCCTATAATGGGAAGACACCGCTCCACCTAGCGGCGGAGAGCGGGCACAAATATGTGGTGAAGTCCCTGATGGAGTCTAGAGCAAACATGAACGCGCAGGATAAGGAAGGGAAGACACCGGTCCACATAGCGGCACAAACCGGCCACGTGCATATCGTGGAGATGTTGGTCGAGGCTGGAGCGGAAGTCAGCATCAAATCGAAAGATGGCACCACCTGTCGGGAGATCGCCGAGAACAATCCGGCCATCATGGAAGCCATCACCAAGGCCACCAAGACGCGCAAGTCCGTCTCCCAGTACGACGAGTTCACCAGACTTCTTGAAGCAGTCGCTGACAACCTTTGTGTGAACCAACACTGGAAGTTATTAGCACGTGATCTGCCTGTCACAAACGCTGATTTCGTGGAAGGGTTCTTGGCTGAGTTAGAGAAGGCGTATCCAGAGAGCCAAAAGGAGCAGGCCTTCAGAGCCCTACGCGCCTGGAGAAAGTACAAAGGGAAAGAGGCCACGGTTGAGGCTCTCTTGGACGGCTTGAGGAAATACAGCTACACTAGCGCCGCTGACGGCTTGGAGCAAGAAGCAAAGAAACTGAATTTGTTGACTTTACCAGCTGAGACAGCCTCAGTACCTGACGAATGATCAAAATAATCAATTTTGTTTATACAAATAGTTACAATTCTGCCATGTACGGTATTCATTTTTATTTATTTTATTTATTAATTTATTTATTTATTCCTTTTTTTGTATTTGTAGTTTCAAACCGTTGCCTGTTTACTGGACAGTTCAAAGATGTATTTGATATATAATCAAATATTTTCTAAAGATTTTTTAAGTGAATATGTCATCAAAGGTTAAAAACCTGTTGTGTCTTTGTGATTCAGTTTTTGAATTATTATCAACTGTGATGTTTTCATATCAATAATACGCAATGCTGCACTAAGCCTCATTTCTGTTGTTCTTCCAATGGTGCAGTATCGTTTACCAGACAGAAATTGCAGAAAAAAACTACCAGTTTTCACCCAGTTTTTAAACCAAGATAATATAATAATGAAAAAAATGTCACAAGTGCGTGTTCATTCTCATGGTCAATTCACATCAAATTAAACTACTTCCCGGCAAGTATTAACATATTCAGTTTTACCATTTATTTAGGTCAAGCAAGCTTTTGTTGAACCAAATTACTGTCAAGAAACAAAGGGTGCGTGTAACAAAAACTCCGCCCTCCGTTAGATCCACACAGAATTTGGTAAGCTCGACGTCATTAAATCAGAATCTAGGACGGGTCCCGCCTGTATAAATCAATGGGAACCGAATCCCGTAATAAGGACTTTTCTAATTTTCTTTTGAAATCGTCTCGTCTTGGTCCCAACCCGTTGCCAGCGCCCTCACAGGGAGCTCTCTCGTACACGCCACCCAACAATTCCCTTTTACGAGTAGCATACAATATGTGCTGGTTTTGTAGGTATCAGCAGAACGCACTGTTGTGTTTTAAGGGACCCAGAATGGAATCGCTTATGTCTGTGGAGGACGTGATTGGAGCTTATTGGCAATCGCCCCCCCCCCCCCCATCTCCACCACCATCTTACACACCATGCACACAAACCCAAAACAACAGGTGCATTTTGAAAAAAAGACTTAAGTCCTCTAGTGACACCTTCAGTGTTTAATCACTATAATTATATACTTATAAAATGTCAAAAAATGCATTACCAGTGAGTTTTTTTTAATTTAATCACAACTAAACATAAAAACAATGACGCTTGAAAGAGCAGTGAATCTATATCAAAAAAAAAGGCGAAAATCTCTCAGATAAAGAGAGTTGTTCTGTTTAAAATCGTGAGTGTCTACTTTTGAACCGCAGACATGATGAATAGGAAAAATGCAAATAGTTTTTGCTTTCTGTCAAAGTTTACAACACCCATGACAACGCATGTTTTTATGTTCGGATCGATTTCGAATTCTCATTCAGACGTAATAAACGAATGAGTTCGTTCCTCAAAATGTTCTCTTCCATTGACTTTTCCAATTTTCTTTTGAAATCGTCTTGTCTTGGTCCCATCCCGTTACCAGCGCCCTCTTTTGTCGTTTCGTCTCTACTCGGAATCTCGGGCTGTTTCACTGCAGCTGCAATACCAAAGTGGTGCGTTCAACGATTGAAATTATAAAGATTATTGTTAAAATTCAAATTACAAAATCATATATTTAAAAAATGGTAATTGTGAAAAAAACATGATAATATAAATCATAGGTCAAATAACTATCAGTTCTATGTTAATCATTTTGTTCACTAAACGAGCTGTGTCAATTTTGCATACTGATTTATATTTGTGGGTTTACCTTCGCGTATGGGGCCAAGAATTTGGTCTACTGCTGACGTCATGACCTGCAAGTCTCGTTTAAGTCTCGTGGCGTGCAACACGGCCAGTGACACGTGCTTTACCAGAATAAAATCCATCACAGCATCACCTGTCAGAAAATATCAGTGGATTGAAAATTGCTGTTTTAAATGATTTAATTCTATCTAATTAGCATTACTGATTCCATTCAATTTATTTCAAGACAATTAACTGTGGTGTCTGATATACCAATATAGTAGGCCCCTACGGCAACTATCAAGACATCATGATTCATTAGATTATTTTGTGCAAGAATAAAATAGTGAAGAAAACTTAAGGTTCATTCTTAATTTACTGCGAATATTCATATATCAGCTGAGTTAAGCCAATACCTATATTCTCAGCAGTAATATCCACGATCTTCTTCAACTGTTCCTGTCGTGTCTGGAGGCACGTCACGTCACTCAGCAGTTTGGTTACCAGTGACTGGGCGTTAAACTGATCCTGGTGGAACAGTGAAAAAGATAAAAGAAGTAATATTGAAGCTTGATAAGAATGGCGTGAAGACGTTAGATTGAGCTTGATGTAAAGAAGAATGCCAACAAGGAGTGTACGTTGATTGTGCCCACTTTAGGCTGATATTTACACTGTTTTCCACAAATGTGCTCTTTACATAAAAACTGCACGTGATTACCGCAGTAAAATCATCTTGCAATTGTACTTTGTTTTGAAAATATCTGATGAAATGGCATGCACCTATTATTTTACTTTATATTACTTACTCCTTCGTCTTCAGTAATAATATTCACGTATGAGGAAAAACTTATGCATTCACTTGGTTTCTTCTTAAACCCTAAAGAAGGACAAAATGTCAAAGGTTTAAATGTATATTTACGTCATTGATGTCATCATTGGCCTACAAATGTAGCTACAGTAAAGAGCCTGATACACGGGACAATGATTATACAAACATGCCACCTAACCTTTTCTAAATATCATTGCTTTGAATTTGTACAAGATATAAAATTATGCATATTCGTCTATAACCTGACGATATCACTTTTGTTATGGTTTATATAAATAAAGTTCTTCTTGGTTACTGCCGTATATAAACATTTCTACTGGGTTAAATGACAATACATATGTCTGTACCTCTCTCAATGATTCTGTCCAATGTTTGACACACCTGTCCCAGTAGTGACACTAGCCAGTAGCCGGTATATCTGAAGTCGGCTTCCAACTCATAGATGTGGCCTCGCAGTTCACCATCTACAAAGTGGGTAAATACGAAAATCTTTCCAGAGAGATTTAACTTACAAATGTGACGCACAATTTTGTTTTTTGTCGGCTCTTGCTTGAATGACACATGCTCATTTTATTTTTCAATTAACAATAAAATGAAATTGCTCTTTACCATTGAGAGTGGGAGAGTTGTGATTTCTCGGCGCCAGCAGGTGTTTGCTGCTCACGATTAATTCACACTTACAAAATTTCAAATTAAACGATACACTTGAACATCCGATAATCCACTGAACTATTTTTTTCAACCTTTACTTGAATATCTTTGAACTAAAGCACTAAAGAAATAATTCAATAATCACAAGAAGCGTCTTTGGCCAGTTTTCCTGCTGCGCATTTTCTTGCGGCTACAGAATCTTTCAGATTAAAGGCCTGACGCTTTAGATCTGCCATCATCGTAGCCATAGCAGGACTTGTGAGGGCTGGAATAGAATGGTTCAATAAGATTAATTTAAAGTAGGGTATAACTTTGTGTGAAAATAGTTTAATTGTCTTAAGTATTTAAAAACTACCTTTGATAATTTTTTCTAGTTGAAATGTAAAATAATACATTCGATGCAACTGAACCTAGTAAGATGGAAAATAAATTGCAAACATCTTCAAAAGATGTCATTATAAAGTATAAAAGAGTTTACAGAGACGTTATCTAAGGGTCATATGACGTCATATTGTCACCATGACGTCAAATGACGCTTTCATTGCATCACGTGGCTGCTGGGAATTCTTGATATGCCTCGATGTTATTATGCTATTGGTAATCGTTAATCTTCAATTATAATTTTATTTTTCAAAATAAAACTTACGTTCATTGTTTACGTTTGTGTTCCTTTTACGAATAGCTTTACGTCTTGTGGTAGAACTAACGGGCATTTCTCCACTTTCTTTTCTCAACGGCTGTGTGGACTTCGACCTGGTCGTGAACTGGCGCTACAAAAGTGAATAAATAAGAACATTTTTTACATAAGGGACTGACCTGAATAATCAAGGCAAACCAAACAGTCTTTTTTTTTTGTTTTTGTTTTTTTTGTTTACCTTAAAATAATTAACTGTTCAATGTACACTTAGCAAAGCTTATCTCAGTGAAAAAATGATTTTGAAACTCACTAGTCTCGCTAGCAGTTCACGCGTGGTATCATCCGACGAATCTGAAGACTGGATCTCGCTTTCTCCTGTAAAATAAGAAAGAAAGAAAGAAAAGAAAAAAACAAGTATTTCATCACATGTATTTGAAGATTCGAGAAAACCTGATATTTTGTAAAAAGATTTTGCTTGATGAAACCAGGAAATTCTCAGATTTTGTAAAATGTATTGCTTGATGATAACAATAAATATTAAGCTTTTGACATTTAATAAACCTCGTTGATCTACTTACGTTGACGTAGTTGACGTGCCAGGTTGTATACTGCTCTGGTGATGTTTTGTTCGACCCAAAATATTCTACAAACGTCCATCACGATAATAGCAACGTTCTGTACTAAATCTTCATCTGCTAGATCTTCAAAAGACGAATTTGTTAAAGAATAAAGGGACAATATCTGATGAAACAAAGCCGCTGCTGTTTTACCGCTGTTTAAGTGACATTTGAATAGATAAGACGTGGAGTAACATGAAATGGTTGCTGTCATCATTTCAGCAATGCTTTTTTATTGAGTGAAAGACATCCTACTTTGCTCTCTAACTGCAGTTTATTAACTGGGTATTTACAAATTCCTTGAGAGCAGAGACCTCATTCAAAACAAAAATAATTAGAAATGCTGAAAAGTGTTCAACGTTTTTCCGGTCATGGTCTACCAGTCATGTACCAGTAGGATAGAGGAAATATGTGCTCATATTTTCGGGGACATGCTTCCTGAAAACTGGTTATTAAATGGCCGATTTATCGATGCTCACCTACGGTGCTTGTTGTATTGAAGACTGCGTTCTTAAACAAAGTCACTTTCCCGTGCATACAGGAAAGATCGGCCAGTAGAGACGCTGATAAACCCCGGGCAACGTCGCCACTCTGAAACAAGAGACAGTGACAAGTGACGCTACTGAAAATACGGACTCAGATTGGTTTGATATCCTTTGGTAAAAATGTCAGATCCAGGTGTGATTCATTATCAAGATTTGTCACGCAAACTCTAATAACCTGATCAATCTGTGCAACTGATCTCTTTAGGGAACGCACAACATTTTCATTTTTATCAATATCATAAATTTCATTCAGTGATAAAACATAAAATTATGTCATACTTTTTCTGCTAATGCTTCGCCTGTAGCCGTTGGACAAGGGCATGGACTGAGACTGACAAAGATTTGAGTGTTGTAATTTCAGAATTTTTATGAGTGGACACTAATATGATACAAAGTTTAAAGCACTTAAATAATTACAATATATTTTCAGCAGTTGACCCTTGTTTTTCTATGTTACGTACCTGTAGTTGTTAGATATGAGTGCTGGATGATTTAGATGATCAGCTGAATTTTCCTGTTGATATTCATTTAAATTACATCTTGCACGACACAATACTTACATCGTCTGCTTCGAGATCATAATTTTTGACAGCTTGGTCAAATTGTGAACAACGTCTCCAGCCCGACCCGACTCCTTGAAAGAGAATTTAGTGTTCATTTCACTTCTAATGAATCAGTCTGTTTCGGATCCANGCCAATTTTTACATTTTGTATACAGCATAGCAACGTTTTCCTATGTCATTTAACATTTGTGTTACCTAAAACCTTTTTATTCAGCTCGTTCATACTATTTACATCGTTTGCAGAAATATTCTATCCTCACTTAAACATGAATATGTTTAACGTGTGTATCCATTAGATGCTGAAACGCTGAATGAAACAGTGGGGGGGGGGGGGGGGTGGCAGTTATTTCATTTTTGAATACATTTTTCGAAATGTTTCTTAAACCATTCAGAATTTAATTTGAAAAAAAAAATAATACTCTTAAAAGACGTTTTACAGACATAGCCTTTATATCGGGTCTTCAACATATTAACCAACCTCCATCCGGGATTCTGCGCTCCTTATGAATACATTATGTTAATTAGGTTTAATTAAGTGCACGGGGGGGGGGATAATTGGCGAGAGGACAATTTAAGACTAAATGATATCTATCTCGCGATAGCTCAGTTGGTAGAGCGGAGGACTGTAGTGGATAGGGGCATCCTTAGGTCGCTGGTTCAAATCCGGCTCGCGAGACACTTTTGCCTAGCAAACTGATGGATCGTTACTGAACTCATCGCAGTCTTAGTATATAATATTGCTTCTGTCAAATCCATCTCATTCTATCTCTCCACCCTCTCTATCTCTTAATCTGTTTTCACTTTTGAACTCTAAATTTTCACTCCATCTATCTTTCACTCTCTCTCTCCCTCCCTCTCTCTCTCTCTCGCACACACATACACACACACACACACACACACACAGAGAGAGAGAGAGAGAGAGAGAGAAACGCAAACGTACACACGTGTGAAAACTTGCAATTATGCATATATATATATATATTACCGGCCCATATCAACTTGCTCAAGAGGGTCCACAGGTCCAACGTCATGAAATCAGCGACATCTTTTACCTGTTGAAGATCATCGTTCAGTTTGACGAAATGCTCACCAAGAAGACGTGCTACAAATAGAAATAAATTTGATGTTACTGAAATGAATACCTAATTATAAAAGTTTAAACAAGCTATTCCTTTCTGCGCTTATTTATCTATCAATTTACTTATCATTCGCCCATGTATCTATTTATGTAATTGTTCATTGTTTTGTCTATAGTGATGGTTTTATCTATGGGCAGAGAAAAAGGCTCCGTCATGCAGTGAAACCTTTGACAAAATGCAGCCGATGATCACATCTTTTTGCCACTTCAAGGTCATTCGCTTTATCAAAAGCACACAGCATGTCCATGGTCTTGTGCTAGTCCAGACTTATAAGAACTCGCTAAGGAAGAAGGGGTAAAATTTTATTTTAAAAACGGGTGCTTTTTTTGGTCATGTTTGTAGAATGTGTGTAGCAGGCCTGTGGCGGGGGGTGGGTGGGGGGGGGGGGGTTAAATGATATATAACTACCAGGAAATCTTGTACAAGTATTTACCAGCAGTGTCCTGGGCCAGCACCTCGCTCTCTCTTCTTAACGTGGCGAAAGTGGCGTTCACAGTGGCCAGTCTGCTACCTAGCGTCCTTATAACTGTGTTAATATAATCCGTGGACAAGGCTGTAAAGTGAAAATGGCGAAAAAAGTTAGTATATAGTAATAGATAAACGACGTCTTCATTTTTCACCATAATTTTTGGTCATTGTCATTCAATTTGATTATTCTTGAAACATAATTCTACTGTCACTTGTGTCTGAGAAGCACGCGTACCTGCTTTCTTTCACGTGCGACCGTGCAGATTTATGCGTGTGCAGGGGCGGATCAAAAGAAATTTTCTGACAGTCTTCCAAATTATCTTTGTTGATTCATCCTCCATTTTTGACCGTCTTCCGACAGAAAAAATTAAACACCCGTCAATGTAAACTTGAAAACCTGACCGTCTTCCAGAAGACCCAGAAGACAGCCTAAATCCGCCCCTGCGTGTGCGCGCTCTTTTGCGTAGTTCTGCATTCCGCGTATATACTGTACGTGTATCTTGTACATTTTATGCATTATCTTTTTCAATTAAAACCGTCACTCCCACAATTTAGTTAAAATATTGTACTTACGGTCAAGTAGTGTTCGTTTTTCAACTCTGTTCTCAACTCTTGCATACTTCAGAATATTGGCCAGTAGGCTGCCGGGCTGGTAGTCTGTCCCTACACCATTAGATGGCGTGCTGTCTCCACTCTGGAGAAAAAAATACAGTAAAACGCGTCTACAGTGCCTTCTACAACAAGTCATAGGCTCCATTCCCATAGATTTTAGATCGATCTATCCCCGCGGGGAGTCTCACTAGATTACTTTCAGATAATCCGACTTAAATGTCCGTCCCGGCTTCTACAAGCTGTAAGAGGGTAATTAACTTTCGTGTCCGCCCGGCTGACAGCTATTTAGCGTGAACCCCCAGGGAGTTAGGTCGACCTAAAGTAGGTTGATCTAATCTATGGAAATGGGGTGATATATTGAATATTCCACTAGATATTCACAGATGTATCTCAGAAGAATTCTTAACACTTTGTTTACTGCGAGTTTTTCTTTGGTATTTTAATTTACTTTCCCCACCTTTAATGATTATGTGTTTTTCGCACCATCAAAACCGCAGCTAGAATTTGACGACTCTCGCTCAAATCAAATCAAATCAAATCAAATCACATAATCATCAAAACTAGTAAATTATTCTTTAGTCGATATGTGCAAATTATAAAACACCATCACTCAGTTGCCCTTTAGTGCAGAGTACGTCTATCAAATTTATCACAGATAATGAGGAAATCCCAGGACCAACCGGGGGGAGGGGGGGGCGGCTCTTAGTCTTGATTACTTCATGGATAAATTACTTTTACTTTAATTGATGATAACGAGACTGTAATGAAATGGAAGACTCGCGTGAAGATAACCATCTCGTACCTCTTGGCGTTTCACGCCGTTTATGACAGTAGTATGTTAATTAGGCTTAATTACATGCACTCTAAATGATTCATGTAATTGTGGCCGTAATGTGGATACACATATAAGGAATATATATATCTCGCGATAGCTCAGTTGGTAGAGCGGAGGACTGTAGTGGAAATATATAAGATATCCTTAGGTCGCTGGTTCAAATCCGGCTCGCGAGAACTTTTTCCCTGACGCCTCAAAGAAACCTACACCTTAAATAAAAACTGACGTTGTTCTGCCAATGATCAATAATGATTTTGAGCGAGTTTTTACTATCTTTTATGTACTAGTTTTTACCATCTTTTATGTACAATAAAATGGGGAAAAAAGAAAGTATTAAAAAACATACCGTACTCTTTTTTCTATTTCCATGTAATTCATCGTGAGCGGCTGTCAGTGTCATTAAAACTAAGGATACCGCGAGAAAACTCCCCAATTTGACTCCACCCATGGCTTGCGGGGTGCCCTATAGAGTAAGACAAGGTGTGTTACAGTGGTCTTATTCTCGTTTTATAATCCTGATCTTGGTCGGCGATCGCTCTTCCACCTTAAGAGTAGGTAGGCGTTCGTAAGCACAGCGCGTGACTTGTACGGTTAATGTTTCAGCGAGGATCGACTGCGTATCCTCAAATTTCTGTGAGTGTCATCAGACTTTAAAGAAGATCAGTTTTTTTCTTGGAATATCCAAAAATGTCTGAGTATATCGACATAGATATATTTCGCACTTTTTCGTCTTCTTGTTGACGCTTTGCCTGTCCGTTTGTTGGTAGGACTCTGACTTGTCCTTAGATACAGGGGTTAAGAAAATACTGTAGACACTGCGATACTTTTTAAATAAGGAATAAATTAAATAGTTTAACAACAGATGTAATGAAGCGTTATGGGCATCTCTGGACGTAACATCCATTTAAAAGTGACTTACACCCCACTGTCCTGGTTGGCCGTTTACGAAGGTCAAAGAGAGGATGTTGTCACTATGTTTTTTAAACAGATATTTCTATAGCTAGATCTTGGGTGCACATTTCGTACTGCCCATCGAAAATATTTGCGCAAACCATCAACAAGCTGACCTCTTGTAGAGGGTTGTCATTGACCGCGAGGATGAGCGTCTTCAGGGGTTAAAGAAGGGGGTCAAGAATGCAGGCAAAGGTGGACGTAAAGACATGGGGCAAGGGAGTTACCAGCTAACGCTGCATTCAAACGAAAAAAGAAAATCTACCACTCCTGGACAGGGGCACGGGTATTGTACACTATTTTCTCTTCTGCAGCCGTAATCCCAATTGGCCCCACACCCTTCCAGCCTCCCCCCCTCTTATCCCCCACCCCCACCCACTCTAAACACAACTCAGCTTTTGCTCTTCAAATATCCAAGCGACGTGTGCGCAAATTTTTTGCCCTCTGCTCTTTCCGCTTGATTTGATCCACAGTGTCTACTATATATTTATCCTGCTAATAGCGAACACTATCTCTAAAGTTTACAAAAGAACAGAACACCCGCAGGTAAATATCGAAGTTCCTTACATTGCTGTGCAAATATTATGCCTGCTTCTAACGTAAAAGGTGTTTTCGTTCGGTCTTGGATACGCCGGTGTGTCCTGTTATTTTGGGATATCAAACAGTTTACCGTGAGTAGAAAGTCATTAGTTTTACAAATACTACCCCCCCCCCCCAAAAAAAAAAAATGAAAAGAGAAAAAAAGAAACCCTGACTGTATATCTGTTCACGGCAATGCGACATTACGTTTAGGCAGTACTAATCTTTTGGTTAATGAACTTATAAATGCTCAGCTAACTTCACTTTAATGAAGCGGAAGTACAACGAAATAGAACCGTTAACTTTTTAGAAGCAAAATAAATGCCAAAAAGAATTTTAAAAAAGACTAATACGGAATTTCGCCTATTTCGTAAGCTTCAAAAACCGCAAATGGCGTCAGAAACATACGGTGATGTTGGCGTGCCGCTCAAAATCATGAACTAGTAGAACACTTTTAAAACACCATAACAAAAAATTTCGTGACAACTTTTATTTCGTTACAGAAATTCTGGAAAGATGCATGGAATTACAGGCAATTGAACCCTCACCTTTCGCGAGAAAATTAATCCCGTGCCCTGAAGTCTCGCGTAGAGGGGCGAGAACTTGCGAGTTTAGGAATCTCTAAAAACATCGAACATGCTATTGGGGTTCGGCCTGATTGATACAGGCCCCCAATCTTATTTGCACAGGTACTGTTCTGTACTTCTCTATGGTTCCAATGCCACAATGAAAAGATGAAAATGTGTTTTATTTATGTCCTTTTACATAACTTGAAATATCCTTTTGATAATATAACCTGTATGTTTCCGAGTAACCTTACTTAGCAGTGCTAATATATGTAGTAAAATAGCATACAGTGACATATGATGCTTCTTTCATCGCACTCTCTTTAACATTATATTACTGTACGCACTTAATACATGCATCTAAATGTGTGTGTGTGTGTGTGTGTGTAGAGTGAGAAAAAGGGAAAAAGTAGACAGAACATGTCATGATGTAATGCACACTTATTCTACTTTATTGCTGCCAGCATTGTCCTTGAACAGAACGCTTCGTTGTTATGGTCGTCGTGGTGACGGCTTCACTCACGGGGAAGTCAGAGACGGGTGACACACCCAAATTGTGAAGAAAATGCTTTGAAAACGGCATGTGGATACAAAAATCGGATACGCCGGCATAAAACTTTAAAACTGATAGGAATGTAGTGACATATCTCCATAAAAAAGTTTATAAAGCTTAATTGTTTTGTGGTTCACAGGTTAAATGATAAATTCATGTGTTGCCTTGTCTACCAACATTTAAAAGACCTCCCCTGGAGTGTTACCAAATTCCCCGCGTGGCCGGCCGTTTACTTCCTGATCCTTTCCTCGAGCATTTTTTCCAGGATGTCTCGAAGCTTCATGGTCAAAGCGTGATCAGAGAAGTCACGCTCCACGTATGCCCCGGATGCTCCAGACGCCCCGGATGCTCCAGACGC